ATTCGCCAAAAAATCGGCCTAGTCGGCCGCCTAGGCGCTAGGCGCCCCTCAACCGCCCGCCTAGCGCCTAGCGAGTTTTAGAACAATGGTTGGATCTATGGGAACAAGTTTGGCTGTGTCAAGTCTACTACATGGTTAGCGATTCGTGTTGCTCTTTCAGGGGTGACCGTCTCAAAGTCTCACCATAGGATTACAGTCGTAGTTGTTGAAGTTTTAGTTGGTGTCAGTGTTATTTTCCCTTTGCTTGATGTAATGATCCTGAATCTTTTGATATGAAAAGAGACATGTTTTGATGATAAAAAATGAACAGAATGAAAATGTTTATGAATATTGTATCATGATTAGTCAAATATAGAAATTGAAAATACATTACTTTGACTAAAATTACTACCATAGCAACCATACTTGCGAGATTTTATAACAACCTATATTTTAATCATAAATATGTAATTATTTCTTGTTAAAACCATAAACCAACTTATAATTAAAATGTGATCGAATAATACTACTCCGTATTTTTCTCTTTTTCTTTTTGAGAAAGTGTATTTTTCTTTTAGTTAACAAAGCAGGACACATCTTAACTTGGACAAAAATGAGACCAACAAACATGTATACATGGAGAAAAATTGCCTTAATAAGTCTATCCTAATTCAACATTTGTCCCTCTCCTTTTGAAGTTGAATCTCCCACACTCCTCGGCTTATCGCGCAGCCCCTTCATCGTCGTAGACTAGTAGTCATCTCATGTATGATTTCATAGCCATCTCCCATCAAGCATGCCTTCCACGTCAAGTTCATGCTATGGAGAAGAAGATTCTCGCCTTTCTCCACTCGCACTTGATAGCTCTCATACGTTGTGTTTTTTTATCTTGATACGTCAAGACCGCAGTAGCATCGACACTGTAGTCTCTAAAAGCATTTGGAATGCATGACTTTTGTTGGTCCATTGATGAGCATCGATGTAAAGCAACGAGTTTCTGAACTAGGGGCAGTGACTGCTTTGCAGATATGGTGAATACGTTTGATAATCGCCGATGAAATTCTGGAGAGGCGAGCAATGGGCATAGAAGTTTTAGGGCTGCACTGGCAGCAATTGCGTCGACTTTGTGAATTTTGAGATGAGCAGTTTGGAGTTTTTAGGACCAACATTACCGGGCAGAGATGACGAAGAGACAAAGAAAGCAATCGGGTTGACCTGGTTTATTTTATCGTGGGTCAAATAACCTAATCCAAAAGGGGCACCCAAAACGTTAAACCACTGGAGGGAGGGTTACTAGTAGCAGGTAGGGTTTACTTATTTTCTACCCGACCGCCTTTCAACCCACAACTATATATGCATACATATCTATAAGACTAAAACGCCGTCATTGCGTTGCATATACATACATCCTATATATATACATAGATTCCAAAACTACGGGAATCCCTTCAACGCCTCTCCATTCCACCCTAAACCCTAACCTTAACTCTCTCTCTATGTGAGTCCGAGTCTTCAAATCCTCTTACCTTATATGGTCAGTACTCGAGTATTGAGTGTTTAGTTGTAAACTGCCACGCACAATAATTGTATATGTTGTACAAAAGTAATAATAGCATTCTGTACTAAAAAGACGGGAAATCGGGTAAAACCCCCGTCATGGTGCAAGAAATGTGAAATAAGGTCAAAAGCGAAGAAATTGAAGTCAATTCAAAGGGGATAAAAATATAACTTATGGATCAACTATTGAAGCCAAAATGCACTTGAAACTATGCAATTGCGCTTTGGGAATCCATCGGCGCCGGTCCAACCACTTAACCGGCGCCGGTATGGTCTTATTATGCAGAAAACAACACAACGTGCAAGATATTCTTGAGCTGAAATGAAAATTTATCATCAGTCTAATCTAGGATCATTAATAGACTGTCAAAAATCATATCATAAACTATTTAAACCCCCGGGTCCATCACAAATGAATCATTAAATCTTGAGTTGGTTTCTAGTTTCTATATTTGTTCTTCGTTCTTCATGGTGTTCTTGATCGAGGTGTAGAAGGTAATTACTTTCAACCATTGATGTTTAGGTGACATTTCCTTTGTTTTTTCATATATTCTTATAAATTCAAAACATTGTAATCTTTATTAATATGAGCGCTAAAGGTTAAGTCCACAAGCCAAGGCTCTGGAAGAACCCCCATGTGCGCTAAGTTTTTTTTATATATGTTCTAAGTCAAGTTTTATGGTTTATTCTTGTTGAATTTAACTTTCGATGTATGAAGTAACAACGTTGAAATTAAATATCAATTGGGCATTAGAAAAGTAATTCACGTTTTACTCTCCTTAACCAAAATCTAAAACTATTCCGCCACATTGCATAACATATAGAAGTTTACATGGTCAACGAAAGTTGCAATATAGATCGTTCTCAGAAGAATAAACATACAATGTATTGAGAATAAAATTATACATGATCTTATATGGTACGTGTGTGATCTTAATATTCAATGAGATTTTCTCTAGATGAATGTGAGTGTAACGAAACTCATATATAGAGAAAATCACGCTCTCGATCACTGCCTTAATTGGAGTCGGGAATATAATAGCGATACCATACTCATAAGAATTAATAAAGAATTTATATTTAACTATAGTTAACATTTAGGTGAATCTCGATGTCTTGGTCATTTTATTATATATTCAGAATATATAGTTAACAAAAATTCATGCACTTTACTTCCATCCTCTACTTTATTTTTTAAACTCAAACTTTATAAAACAACGTTTCTCCATGGTTCAACCCATTATTTTATCGGTATTTTATCACTACATTGACACTTGTATACTTGCAAGTTTAGCTCGATCATGGACATCTTATCTTCTCTTGCACTCGATCCGACTTCTCATTATCTTTTGATTTTCTTTTCATAAAAAAAAAATCTTTTGATTTATCTTTTTTTTTTAATTTTCTTTTCATGTTATTAGTACATTGTTTTTCATTTTGATTTCTCTTTTAATACTTCTCTTTTCATTTTTCATTTTTATGAGTACTTTTTGTGAAGGAATTAAAGCATCTAAATCTTTACAAAATATTAAAACCAAAGTGCTAGAGTCTAATACATAATGCCAAAATTATGTATAACAATTTTAAAGTTTATACGGAGTAGAAGAAACGACTAGTTTATAGAAAAAAAACGACTAGGCCGATTTTTTGGCCAACTAGGCCGATTCGGCCTCTACGGTTAGGGCCGCCTAGGCCGCCTAGGCCGATTTTTAGAACAATGGTCTTAATCTAAGGGCTCGTTTGTTACGGTGTAAAGTAAACATTTTGCGTGTAAAGTGTAATAAAGAAAGCACTTTACATCGTTTGATTTAACTATTTAATATAAGTTGTAGAACACTTTTTTAAAAACATTTTACATTGGCCTGCAAGAAACTCTCTTTTCTCCAATTGTCCTACGCAGTGCTATCGTATATAAGAAACAAAATCTGCTTTACACTCCACGGAACCAACGGGTAGCTTTTGCAATTTGATTTATTATATATATGTGAAATTAAATCTTTAGATATTGTGCTTCTTGAAATAATAAAAGTTTACAATTTTTAGTGATTACTCCATTTTTGCACGCCACTCTCTCTTCTGGCCAGCAGTACACGTATGTTTAATTTGATGAATCAGCTATGGAGTCATTTTTAAAGATTTTACATGTAAAGTTATTTTCTAAAGAAAAAGGTAAAGATGGTAAAAAAGTAAAGAATCCCCATTTAATAATTTAAATATAGATTACACACATAACCAAACGATATATTTTATTTTACATGCAAAACATTTTACTACCCTAAACTTTAGATTGCAATCATTTTGTGTGAAGTATCAAACGGGTTCCAAGAAATATTCATCTGAGTCCTTGCCTTGTTTTTCTTTTCCAGCATGCTGATTCCCTTCTTCAGCTGCCTTGACTTCTCCAGCCTTCCTCTTTTTAGCTGCTTGTTGTTCACCAAATTGTATTTCCAGATTTCTTCTTCTTGTATAAGAAGCCTTCTCTCCTCTGGTCATTTAGCTGAAATCAGGCTTCTTCCATGGACCCTTCTGCCAATCTGCCATGGCCCTTTAATTTGAGATGTAGAGGGTCTCGAGCTTCCTTCCTTCCCACCTTTTGGCATCATACTGCTCCAGCTCTTCGGCTAGGAGTTCCAATTGAAGTTTAAGATCAATGACTTCAATCATAAGGCCCCCTTTGATATCTTCTTCCAGGTAGCTTAGATTGGGGCCTGAGGGGAGGTCTGGTCCACAGTCTTGGTCAGATTTTTTATTTTGTTATCAGGAATGAGGAAGCTGTGTTGACACTGTTGAAATAATTTGACTATTGCTTTTCTTACATGGTCATAATCTTTTAGGAACTTGGCTGATTCTTCATTGGTTTTGTTCCTTAAGAGCTGTGCAAGTCTTCTGCCATTTTCCGATATCATTCTCTCAACTCGTGGATGAGCTTGTCATCTGCTGCTCTTATTGGCTTATTGCTGCAAGCTCTGGGGAGATATAAGAATAGCAGGAAGGGGAGATTTAAGTACCTGAAGAGCTAGATGGGGCTGAGACTTTAGTGGTTGGTTGTTGCTGAGGAATGAGGAGCAGACTGCTGCTTCTCTCTGATCTTCCTTTCCTTTGCTTGATTATTAAGTAGCTTTTTCAGTAGTGTCTCGATGGTTAAGATCTTATCATTCATCTAAACTTTACACCTTTCACAGTTTCACATATCATCTATATTTCATGATGTTTTTCACGAGAGCGAACAAACAGAGATAGTGCTAGAGCTCAGACTTTTCATCTAACTATTTCTTCTTAAGAGGTCCTCAATAAGAAGCATAATGCCAAAGTTTTGACTTTTTGTCACACTATTTCTTTTTAGGAGGTCCCTGATACGAAGCAAATTCAAAATAAAACGTTACTGCACTTTTTGAATGAAATTATATTCAATCAGTTTAAGATATTAATTTATTAGCTCTAAAATTTTGACACTTTCAATGTCACCAACGCCTACTTAGATTGGATTAAGAAACATGAACAAAACATCAACAGCTTTAATGCATACATGCCACTAATGCCAGCAATCATAATAAAAACAGTAATATTACTGCCCATGATGACTTTGAGTGCATTTCTGTGGCGTTTAACCTAGCTAATGGCTAATGCCGTAGAATTCAGATAAATAAGTTAAAGCTTCAGTGTTATTGTTACAAACTTTCCATAACGATGCAGCCTCACCATGGGAGATCGTACCAAAATTCTCACAATCATGGAGAAAGTCGAGCAGCTTTGAATAAAAGCAATCATAGTTCATCAAAAGAAAAGGAACCGGGAGAAGTGAACCAATCCGGTCGAGTTGGATCAATGCCATAAGCTCAAAGACTTCATCCAGAGTGCCAATTCCACCTGGCAGAGCCACCACGGCTGTCTTATCCAAGCCGCTGCCGCTACTAGTTCTAACAGCTGCGTCCACCAACCCATGCTTCCTTGCAGAGAAAAACCTGCAAGTGAGGTATGTTTCTGATGGCAAGTATGGATGAAACTTGGTTGATGTCCATTCCCCAGCTTCTTTACTTATCCTAAATCCACCAACAGCCTTTCCAGCTTGTAGGGCACCTTGTGTCACAGCATCCATGAGGCCAGGTCCGACCCCCGACCATGACGTACAATCTAAAAGGGTAGCGACCTGCTCCAATAAGAACTCAAATGTTTGAAATGCTTAATATGAAACTTTCCCATTCCCTTGTTTCTTTTTTCATCAAATGAAACTAAAATGGTTTACACTTTACACCAAAGAAATGCTCCGTCAGTGATCAGCCACCCCACAAAAAAGATTCCCAAAAAGGATCTTAGTTAAACCAAACAAACATATTTTCATTAAATTTAAGGGATTTTACATAAATATTGCTGCCTCCATCCCAATTTAAGGTTCTCATATCTATTATGCTTTAACTTAAGTACTTAACTATATTTTAAGAAATCTTTTCTATGTTACGCTTTTCTTAGTAAAAAATATCACAAGTGTGTTAAAATCAACCTGTAAATATTAAAAACATTGGGAAAATGGAAACTAATAATCCAACCTTTTAGTGGCCTTCTTTTAATAGTCCCACCTTTTCGTTATTCATGAATAATCCAACATTTGCACCTCATCTTCATTCACTGGTCCCTGACCGGTTGATGACCTTCTATTCCAAGTTATTTTCTTATCTTTACAAAATATTATCTTTGTGAAAGGTGAAATTTATGGTATAATAGTTTGCAGAGATAGAGAAAATAACTCGGAATAGCAGGTCATCAACCGGTCGGGGACCAATGAATGAAGATGAGGTGCAAAGGTTGGATTATTTATGAATAACGAAAAGGTCGGACTATTAAAAGAAGACCGCTAAAAGGTTGGATTATTAGTTTCCATTTTCCAAAAACATTTCAAAATGATGATTTTTCAACCAGTGTAAATGGTGAAGACGGAGGAGTAAAAACTTGCCTCTCTTCCCAATTCAAATGCTTGTGTGTAGTGTGGATGATCAGGACCCACCCTTGAAGAGCCCAAATACACAACACCCCTGCCAAGCCTGTGTATCAGTTCATAACATTGCTCCATTTCCTTCTTCACCTGTTTCATCAAATGCAACATTGTTAGTCTACAGAACTAAGGAAACTTGGTTCATTGCTCATGGGACTCTTTTGCCATTTCAAAAGGCAGTACGACAACAACTTTGACCTCTTTTCTGGAACGTACAGAACTTCCCATATTTTATGGGTTGTGTAACTACTCGAGTAAAGTTTAATTTTCTCTAAGTGAGGGAAGTGGTTTCCATGAGGGTATTTAGGATCAAATACTTCTAACACAAACCAAGTGGAAGTAGACAACTTGAGTTAGTTGACTCTAAAAAGCTAGCCTATATAATGAGTGTCAAACATACAATCAAACTACAATATGACTTGACTTTGATACCAAGGACTCCATCTAGTTAACCTTATAAAAGGAACATAAAATCTTGCACTTGAGACAAATATTTCAGCAAAGGATTGCAAGTTCCAACTCAATCCGTGGCTGGTAACTAGAAATGATCATATGAGTGCTTACCCTTATGCTCGGACAACTCTTCCCATTAGGCACGCTAAATTCAATAAACCCCAAATCCTAACGGAACACAATCCTAATACGTTTTAGAGTTGGTAATTATTCCAAACTCATTCAAAACCAAAATCAAAATTGAAAAAGGGAAAATTCTCGAAATAAGAGTAAAACCATTGTGGAATTCAAGAATAGGATTACAATGTTTTCATTTCCTAAATAGGAGTGAAGAATGAAGATGTTATTAATTGGATTGAATTTTCTAGTCCGGTCTAATATTGTAAGTCTGGTATTTGTGTATTTTATAAATGTTGAAATCTGGTCTAGTTTGTTTAAGTCTGATCTGGTCTGTTCTAGAACTGAAAATAGTCCAAGTAAAAACATCCTAATTACTGTAGCTTGAAAAATAATGGCATGCTTAAATCCTGTAATATTAGAACATGACATTAATTACTCAAAATAGGATAACTTTTTTTTATCTTATTTAAGGCAATTTCTTAAAAAACTAATCTGAAATATCCACCTCTATATCTCGTCCGTAGTCTGTTAGCTGAGGAGAGTGGTCAATATTTCCCCTTCGGAGCAAATTCAGGATCCAACTAATGCAGAACAAAATCCAAAGTCACTAATGCCGTAACTAGTTGACTCAACCAAAGAAAAGAATGACATGCTTGATGCTACTGTCCAGTCGTTGAAAATAAATAAATATGGAAAATCATGATCAATACCTCGTTGGGACTCATTCTTTCTTCAAATTCAATCGCCTCGGAATTGCAGAAAATGACCCTTCTTCGTGGTGGATACTTCACTAAAGAGTAAAATTGCACACGCTTGTGATCACAATTTCGTGGCAGAAAACGATGAGCTAGTGTAGCAGGACTAGCAGCTGAAACGGCCATCTTATCTTACTTTCTCTAAAAATCAGAGTAATAGGATTAGAGCAGGGATTTAAATTCTTCTCCGTCCCTAATTGAGAACTCTAGCTAATTCAGATCAACATCAAAACAAATTCAGTAATAATGGATTTTTGTGAGAGTGATATAATAATGGAAAATTCTAAAATGAAGTATTGTGTTTTTTCAGAACCAATAACCGTAAAAAATACTGTCATAGTACAATGTTACTCTAGGCAACCTGAATCGGTAAAGATCAAAGTCCAATAGCTCGGGTGGTGGACCGTCCTCTGTTCTCAACTCGGAGGAAGGAAATAAAATCCTGCTGCCTTACCGGACTCTCGCAAGGATGTCCTACGGACGGTTGAAGTTCAGCTGGCAGCACCGCAGCAGCGAGGGTGTCAAGGGTTAGTCCCTGTTCGAATACAGGCTAATTACTTGACATAGGCCTCTGCAAGTACCCCTCTCACTCCCTACCCATTTTCAGATTGAGATTATAATCTACTTGATATGAACTAAATTAATATGTCCTGTCTACTTGATATGAACTAAATTGGCCCTAGGAATAAAGAGTAAAAGAGACTTGGGAATCTTACTCCCCACAACTCTTGGTTCGATATTCTCAAATGATAGAAAACTATTAATTTAAAACCTGAATAATTGCAAATTATCGATTTAGGACCTAAGTTGTCATGTACGAAGTATTTTATTAATTTTTATGATTTTAGAATTTTTAAATATTATTTAGTTTTATGAAACTAATAAAGTTTTGTGAAGAAAAGTTTATCAAAAATCAGCAATAAAATTAATAAAAAACTAAATAAGTAAAAACATACTACGTATGAAACATGAGATCTTAGATTGATAGGATCGAATTTTGTTACACACAGTACCAATAGCCACCTGTCTAGGGTATATCTCCAATCACCTTTACACATGTAACCATACTACGTAGTATAAGATTAGCACATTCATTCTTGTTAGGCAGGTGGAACACGTTTCATCGCCATATTAATTTGCTTGTTGGCCAAATATTTTTTCTTTAGTATAAATATCACCTTTCAACATGTGGAAAGAAATCCGAATTTTGCTCTAAGAAATTGCCGTCTGCCAAATCCCCTACTCCATCTTACTTAACACTTTTCAGTCTCTCCATTACTTCCCAGATTCTGTCCACCCTCAGGTCGGCGATCCATCAAAAGTATATATTTCAAATGTAATTTTTTCATAAATCAACCAATACATCCACTTCGGCCAAAATTTCATAAATTTCATCAGAATCAGTTGATTCTGCCGATTCTAGTGTTACCAAGTAGGCTATCAGTGTAGCTTCTAAAGATTGTCATGAATATACAACTACAAGTTGTTAGAGGCTTTTAAATAGTACAAAATCTAGAAGGTAGAAACTCATGTCTATAGAAAATGTGTTGAAATTAAAGACCAAATCTAATACTCCCTCCGCCCCGTTAAGATTGTCCCATTTTACATTTTCGGGAAGTCCCACTAAGATTTTCTCATACCAAATTTGGTAAAGATTGTGTGGATCTAAACCATTCTTACTTTATTCTTACTTTATCAATTTAATATCAACCACACAAACTCATTTTTATTAATAATCGTGTCACCTTCTCTCGTCTCAATCTTAGTGGGACGGAAGTAGTATTTTTTTTTAAATTTCTTACCTGTGTTGGTTGGGTGTGTTTTTTAATAACACCAAAGTTGCATTTTGAACTAGAATGTGTTTGCCATCGCTTCTATTTTAATTGTCTGAAAGATGGATGAATTATCAACCTGAGACCCAAAAAATGAAATATATCAGTATAAGACTTCAATGATGGAAAACTATCAATCTAGGACCTAATATTTCGTAGATTTTGATTTAGTTAGTTTTTAATTAATTCCATTGTCATGTTTTTTAAACTTTTCTTCACAATAATTTAGTAGTACAATAAAACTAAACAATATTTAAAATTTTTAAAAATATAATAACAATAAAAATTAATGACAACTTAGGTTCCAGAATGATTTTCAATATTTTTTTTAAAAAAAATTGATTTTCAATAATTCAGCTCCTAAATTGATAGTTTTCTATATCGATACATTTCATCTTTCAGATCCCGAATTGATAATTCGTCTATCTTTCGTGTCCTGAATAGATAAAATTCATTTTATTATTATAGAGAAAGTACATAATAGTAAAAAGTGACAATGTTTTAAAAAAGTGTTTTTCAAAAAGTAAATATTGGTAGTATTTAGTAAAAATGTGCATTTTGTGTAATAGAAAAGTGAAAACAGTTTAAGGGATGCATTTATTTGATTTCAACTTTTTCCTTTTAAATATTTAACTTAAGTATAAATTGTCACTTGAAAACTTTCAGTGTTTTAAATCAAAAGATGAAAAACACTCTTTTAAGAGTGAATCATCTATGAACCTTTTTCTAGTATTGATATTAGGTAAAATCTATTGACAAAGATGAAATTCTAATTGGAATGATTAAATAATTTAAATTGATTGAATCTGTTAAATGAAGAAAAACTTATATTTAAAATATACCAAGTACTTATTAATTTAAGTTATATGAAAAAAAATATTTCTTCTACCTCATTAGATTTTGTCAATTTATGCTTCCTAAAAATTTGTCACATCTTTTAATTAATTAATTTTCTATTTGTTTATTTCTCTTTCCCAACACAAACCATACATAAAAAGCTTCCAATTTGATTTTAATTACCCTAAAACTCTATGTTGAAAGAACCGGACCGGACCGGCCGGGTCAACCCGGAACCCGGTCACCCGGAGTCCAATCAACCCGTTAATGTGCCCAAACCCGCATTTACCCGTTTGACCCGCCGAAACCGGACCGTGAACGGACCAGCGGAAACCCAGAAATTGGGTAAAACCCGGAAGAAAGTGCAAAATTTGTCAAGACGGGGAATCGAACCCTGCTCAACAAGTTCATCATACGGCCACCAAACCAACGAGCTGTGTTGGGAAGTTGTTACATTTGGTTCTTTAACTCTATTTATTAAATATTTTGTTTCAATCAATACATTACAACCCCTACTACTTGGTACATAATTAATAATCTTTTATTATACAAAAGCAAAATGAAAACTGCACAGTGTTCCCGCCCAAACACTGTGCAGTAACGGGCCGGGTATGTTAAAATGGGTCCAAATCGGGTCATGTTGCATCTGTCCTTTGCTGCTCAGTAAATGTAAATGTTGGCCGGCAATTTTAGTAGCTCAAGATACCTAGGGCAAAGCTGTGGAGATATGTGGGTCCAACTGGGCTGCAATTTTAGGGGCTCAAGATATATCTCATTAATGCGCCGCGTAAACCAGATTGAATGGCTCAAGAAAATGTACTTTTTACAACCATTCAATGCATTGTATGCTTTAAGGACGAAATTAATGGGTATATGAGCTGTTCATCAGTTGGGGATATCAAGGGATATCTACTTTAATGAGATCTTTTGTACGAAATTACTGAGCATGGTGGGTTGAATGCATCTCATTAAAGTTTAAAAATTAAAAGCCAATGCAGCCTATTATCCATTGGATAATATCTTAGAATATCTTAGAAATTTGCAGACCAGTTTTGATAGTAGTATATAAACGTCCAGCTCCCTCGATCAGTTGGGTACCCAGAGCCAAGAGAGCAACCGCATCAATGCATTGACATTGAAGTCTGATCACATTTTAGGAGGGATACACAAGTGATTTTGCTCAATAAAAAGGTATATCATATGCCCAACTCTTTTCAAAAAAGAATTTTAGTAGAGCAGTGTACTATAAGTTCTTTTAAAGAATTTTAGTAGAGCAGTGCACTCAAACAAAATTATGCAAATAGAATTTTGTATGGCTTTGGTAGGGTTTGTAAGTGGCTACAAATGGAGGAGTTCATGAAGCTGTTCAGGGAGGGGTGCTTACTAAGGTGAGAAACACTACTCTATTTTTTTATTTTTGAAAACATATTTCTACCAAGCCAAAAACTATTTTATAATGGATCATTTCATGTTTGATAAATATGAGAGGAGTGTGGAGGAAATATAAGTGTTTTTCAAGGCTAAACAAGTATAATTGGATTGTTGATAAATTGTTCTAAAATAACAACACAATTTTTGATGCACGGTATGTATTTTCTTAAAACCCCAATAAAAGCTATGAATACCACATATATGGCATCCAAAACAGAGGGATTAATTGAAACTAAAGTTTTAAAAAAATTTAAAAATGTGTTTATATAATAATCCCTTAAACAATACTATTCAAATACAAATTATAGCCAGGCTATAATAAGAATTTTGAAAAATACAATGATAATTACAAAACCATAAAAGAAAGCAAATTTGATTTTGACTAGCTACTTGCCAATGTTTATTGACCAACTTTGCCATATTCAGTATCTAAATAGACTTAAAGAAATTGACAATCAAATCAGGAATTCATTTACACTCTTGAAACAAAATATCTAATAAGAGCAACTCTCTAAAGAATTCAAGTTTAAGACTTTAAGTCCTGATCTGAGGAGATTAGTTCTAAACCTTCACTCAAAGTATTCCGTATGGACGGATCTATTTCAGTACAAGAAGTATAACATATAAGTTACTCCGTATTAGTTATAAAAACGAAATCAGTTCAATTGATTGTTGTCATTCAAGGTACATTTTTGGAAAAAATAGGTCAATAAGTTCAGTATTTAAATTAAGGGGTATACAAGAGATTAATACAAAAACTATAGTAAAATTGTGATACTAACAAAGTGGTTTGAAAAACAAAATAACTTTCAAAATTGAACCAAGCATACAGTTCTTATTGTTGAAATTAGAAACTTTATTAAAGAAACTTGGGGTTTTGACATGAATATTACTAAAAAATTGACAATAGACAAAAAAGAGACCTCTTTTTTAAATTTCCAAGATTGAGACTAATTAACACCCGCTTCTTTGAATTACCCTTAAGGCTCTTAAACCGCTTCTCAATTAGAATCCTACAACTCTGTTGACTGACGGTGACTCCATCCATACCTGAGCATGACTCAATTCGACATCCGCATAACTTTATGTAGTAACATTGCACTACATACTAGTGGTTACATAAGATCACTCTCTACCCATAATTGCTTCTTTTGATTTTATTATGATATACAAAATATTATTTATCAAGATAGATATTTGAATATGAAAACATTGGGGTCTTAATTAAATATTTAAATTATTATACTAAAATTTGTCTGAAAATATCGTCTTACATAGTATCACTCCAGTGACCACCGTTCCAATTGTTAATGTTTCATTGATCAAGGTTCTAGTTACTAACGCCCCAGTGACCAGCGTTCCAGTTACTAACGCCCCAGTGACCACCGTTCCAGTTACTAACGCTCCAGTGACCACCGTTCCAGTTACTAACGCTCCAGTGACTACAATCCTAGTTACTACCACTTCGGTAACTGTCGTCCCAGTTACTATGGTTCAAATGATCCTCGCCTCAATTACTATCGCTCCAGTGACCTTCTCAATTACTACTATCTCAATTATCACTGTCTCAGTTACTTCCGCGCCAGTGACAATGTCTCAGTGACCACCGCACCAGTGACCAACTCACAGTGACTAAGATGAGAGTGACCTATCTAACACCGGCATTCACGAGAGTACTGGCGGTGGACAGTTTAACGGGCCAAACCAACACCGCCTACACCGCTACCCTACTGCCTTGACACTGCAATGACCAACACCGATGTGCGAGACTGCAGTGACATACTTGCACCATAGTAATACCCCTCAATGACATACCACCGCCCTTCAATTTGCATCATTTTAACCAACCCCTTCCCCGCCTCACACTACCGCCACAAAGCGCCACTACCCAAGCTATGACACCATCTGGCATCAACCGCCCATGAACCAACGGCCAAACCCAGAGCTAAATCCTTCTTAACCCCTGTCACTGTGTGACACCGTCCCCAAATATATTTACCTTTATGTAAATTATGTATTGAATATGGTGTATTGAGTAAGGAATTTACGAGGTTGTAAATTTTTGTTATTTCTTTTGTGGGAATTGTAAATTACACGTGGGGCCCACGCTCGGAACGGGGAGTGACCCGATAACACGAGACCACATGTTCTATTCATCTTGGTCTAGATAATAGTTACATGGTGGTGGACATTCATAATGAGTCATAAGAAAGGCATTGGGTTGATCGGTTTGTCAAACAGAGCCCAATTACCAGTACCGACAATTTCTCAAATAACAGTCCGAAATGAATTTCAGAGACTTTTAAATTAAAGTTGGGGGATGTATATTCACTTTTAAGATCCATAATGATTGTGAACATGTAATATATTTTATTTGAACCGGTAAAATAAAATATAATTAAAACAGTCCGAGAAATACAACTTTCGGGGTCAATTGTACACGTCGGGACAAAATGGGATGACCTCCCACATGAGTGGGGGCCACCCCACGTTTTTTTGAGCTATTGAGACAAGAGAGGGCTGCTCAATGTCATAGGGAGGTTGGCTGGTTGATTCAATTGGAATCAAATAAGTGTGGACCTCACTCCCACACTTATTTGCTAAGTAAGACAAGGAGGAAAGTCTCCTCACTCTCACCCCAATCACCTAGCTCGACCCAGCCCCCAAAGAGAGAGAGAGAGCTCTGAAAACCCCCCATCTCCATAGCCAAGGAAGCTTAAGCAAGCAAGGAGCTCAAGGAAGAAGATTAGAAGGAGAAAGTAGGAAAAAGTGTGAAAATTAAGGTAATAACCTTATCATAACTTTTCCTTTATTTTTCTTCTACCATATGATATTTATATCATATGAAGAACCCCTAGGATGGTTCTACATGCCCAAAGTGTAGAACAAAGGGTTGAAAGGTGGTTCTAAGTCCAAGAACGGACTTAGAAGCCAAAGAGACCGGTTCGCCGGGAAATAACCTTTTAGAGGTTATTTGTATTGATTAAGGTTTTATGATGTTAAAACCTTGTTAGGAACTCATATAAGGTGATTCAATAGCTTTCACAAAGTTGAAGGAGTCGCCGGAATAGTCGCCGGAGTTCAACCAAACTCGCCGGAGTTTCACCGGGGTTCAACCGAGAAGGGTAGAACTTCATAACGCTCATTTTAGGTGAGTGGATGGCTTAATGTCTTATAACTCTTGGGTTAAGTATGAGATTACCTAAATAAATGCTATAAGTAGTCATAATGATGTTTAAAAGAGTTTAAGCATGTGATTAGCCTAGGTAACTAGGCTTAGGTGAATAAAACTTCATGATTATGCATGTGAAGAATATGAAAAATGTATAAAAACATTTGTGATGTTTTGGATGACCAAAATGGCATTTATTGGTTGTTTTAGACATGATATAGGTTGTATAAAAATTTCGGGTCAAACGGATCACGTTTCGGGGGTCAACTCGGGGGTCAACGAGCCGTTGACCCAAAACTCCGAACATACCCGGCGCCGGGTATAGGGCCTACCCGGGGCCGGGTAAGCTACTGCCTCCACATTTTAATTTCACCGAAAACGCGAACCGAAGTCCGGTTCGAAGGAGGGGCTGACCCCGTACAACCTATGTGTGTATATTGTGCATGGAATTGCATGGAATATGATGATTAAATGTCAAGGTTGATAGTTATTGATTTAATTCCAAGACTTGGTTTAGTCTTTAGTAATATTATGATATAGACCCTATCTAGTGTGATATGTGGTAAGTCATAGGTCGGGTGGAGTACCCAGGGATCGGGCGTGTATCCTCAAAACTCGGTTATAGGGTGGAGTACCCAAGGATCGGGCGGTTATCCTCAAAACTCGGTTATATAGGGTGGAGTACCCAAGGATCGGGCGGTTATCCTCAAAACTCGGTTATATAGGGTGGAGTACCCAAGGATCGGGCGGTTATCCTCAAAACTCGGTTATAGGGTGGAGTACCCAAGGATCGGGCGTGTATCCTCAAAACTCATAGATTACATTTAATGATCTAGGACCGGGCGGTGTCCTTATAATAATTTACTTGAACAAGGAGGAGTTCTATACACTCATAGGTATATGGGTGGGTTGGGATTTAAGTCAAGGACATTGGCTTCTATTATTTTCCCAAATAAACAATGACCTACGGGTCGGGTATTTCCAAGTGTATATATACTAATATGTATTTCAAAACTTGGGGGAAGGACTATACGTATATGTATCACCCTATGTTTGGGTCTTATACTTGAAACGTTAGTTATTCTACATTTAGCTTGCTACTCGCTCGGTACTTGTACTGACCCCTTCGGGGGGCCCCACCATTTCAGGTTGAAGCTCAAGTTGCTATTCTCACCTTGCTCGGTGAAGTGATCCAAAGGGAGACGTGGTTCGTGCTTCCTTTAATGTTTTAAACTACAAACTTGTTCATGGATATTTTTGTAATAAATACATTTGTTTTGGGCCTGCGTGCCTACGTTTTGGCCATGTGTGGCCCATGATTGAATATTGAATATTTCCGCTATTCGTTCAATCCTATGGTGTGATGTTGTTATGTATGTTTACTTACTGAGTATGGTATGGACTATGTTCATGGACGCCTTGTTTGACTAAGTCACGTTGACTCTCGGGTGACGTCATTTAGTCATACGGCGGTTGTACACGCGCTCAGATGCGGTCTGGGGCGTGACACACTGCCCGGTCAATGATAAAACTCACCACCTGGAATTGAAATCAGCTTAACAATGAGCCTAACTCCAAACCTCCAAACCAGGATGAAGAAATCATTCAAAAGCGAGACTCAATTGCATAAGAGAGAAGAAGATGAATAAAAGGTGGAAGAAGATGGTGCGGGCGGGAGGGGGAGAAAGAGACGAAATCAGAATCGCCATAGAGGAAATTGGTGCTTTCAACACTTGACGATAAGGAATGAGGAGAAACACAGGCGACTCGGCAAACCACAGTCCTTGGAACGAATTGTGTCGCTGTTGCCGGAATCGAAGATGAGTGTTGGTAAGTTGGGTTGAAGATTTGAAGTCCGCTCCTTGAAAACCTCTGTCTTCGCCACTGCAGGAGCAATAGCGCCATCTACATCTCATGAACAGATCTAGGTTGCCTTGGGCCTTTGGTTGTGGTCATCGCCGGAATCTAGCTGGGTTGCCTTGGCCGCAGGGTTGGAGTCAATCGAAGACCTTCACGGCCTCACACCTGGAAGGGAATGAAGAGAAGAATTCTATTGGGGTTGTTTAGACATATTACACATACGTAGGTCACATATTTGTCTAAAATAGGAAGTTGCCTCATTTTCGTCAATAGAGAAGCTGTAGCTATTATTGGCGTCATTTTTTCAAGAAACTTTTTAAAACCAAAACAAGTCAAATACGGAGTATAATGTAGTGTTTAAATATAATCTATTTAACAAAAACAGCTAAATAAACACAATTATTCTAAGCATGTGGTGTATCAACTATGATAATACAACGTGGTTTTAAAAAAATAATATTTTTAAAACCCAAGCCCAGTATAGAGTGCTAATAGATTACATTAAAAAAAAGAATAGGCATATACATATATGAAATTATAGTAGTAGGTGTATCTAATATTTTAATAATTTATATTAATTAACAATTATAAAATAACATGGCTCTTAATGATAGGTCTAGACTGGTCTGTTATATCATCGAAGATCTGTTAATAAAATTGAGATTGATACATGACATAAACAAAAATGGATGTTTCCAGGTGTGTGATTATTAACAATTTTGTAATCAGACAAATGCATCAACAAATGGATTAAAACTACTGAGGCAAAACCGAACACCCCAACAAACCTGACTGCATTAGAGTAATTTAGTATAACACGGCAACCAAATACTTTACAAAAAAATTTTGTGGTAATCAAAGAGATATAAAAAAAATATTTTTTCAATAAATAGCGCAATATCTAATATACTACATATTAGATTTTTACAAAGAAGAATACAACATAATATGTTAAATATGCCAATGGGTGTTTTTAAAACCAAAATCAGTAACATATAAAGCTATGACTTAACCCAAATTGCGGAGTATATTAATGTAAAAGCTTGAGTTAATAGATTTTTAAAGCTTGGGTAGATATAAGATTTTTAATTACCGATGCAAAAAAAACACTGAAATTATTTCTAACATAGTTTTGAAATTCGTTAAGTACATGACCATCAAAAAATAAAAAAACATCTAGGAAATTAAGCAAGATCCGTATAACACAATGATGAATCTTTTATACGGAGTATCAGAGAAGTTATGTTTCCGTATTAAAAAACCTGAGAATTAGATATGACTAAGAAAAAACACCGAAGAAATGAATAAAACAACTTTGGAAAAATCAAATACATCAATTGTGCTTCATAAATATACCGTAGACACAGTCGGCAATACACAGTCGGCCATATGTATGAAGAAAATAGTTTGCAAAGGGCAGCCTCAATGGGAATATGCAGATAATCAGGCGACAAAGATAAGGCCGGAAGATGCCAACTCCTCCAGACAAACCGATGTCAATCTCATGTCAAGGGTATGCGATGAAAAATCCGTCATGCAAAGAAGAGAGGATTTATGGACGTTAGAAGAGTCTAAGGCATCGATAACCGATGGTTCTCGACGAAGATGCGGCTAATGGCGAGTCCTTTGCGTATAAGGGGTTATATGTTTAGGGTTTGGTGGTGTGCGTATTTGATATGGAGGTCAAATATGGGCTTCTTTGGATCAAAAGTAGATGGATTGGGTCCAAAATTTAGAACTCTGCTTTCCATTTACGGATGTTCTTAATGAATGGAGTGGCTGGGTTGAAATGGGCTGTATACATGGGCGGAGTTAGGGGAGGGCCATCCCTTGCCCTGGTCCTGGCTCAGCCCAAATTTAAAAAATGTCTGTATTTTTTATATAAAAAATTTCGTGTAAAAATGTTTTCACAGATATTGTTTGTACCGGCCCAGTACAATCTAATGCCTTAGCTCCGCCCCTGGCTGTATATAACTAATTGGATTGGGTTCATTAAATTTATACAGTAATATAGATCATGGAGTGTAATTTATAATATGTATAACGATAAATTCATATCATTTCTTTATCTTAATAATTATGTTTTTAATAATTTATAATATGTATAATACGTATAATTTGTATAATGAATAGATGCATATCGTTTCTTTGTCGTAATAATTATGTTTTAACGCATGATTAAAGTTATGTGATCAAAATATTTATATTTACATTATTAGTTTAATGTATATGCTAGAAATTTTTGATTTTGTTGTTGAGAAAAATCAACGGCCTAATCAATGAGCCCAATACTGTGATATTGGTGACCCATCACATAATTGGAATAACTATGGAACACTCTTTTGGTTTGAGAGGAGGACATTTCGAAAAAAGGATGACATTCCATCCTTGAGGCTTCCAAAAATCGATTGGACAATTATTTGGAAGGATGTAAGTTAGCCCACCAAGTGGAGAGGGCACTACGAAATTCTAAGTCATAAGTACCCTTTTTGTTGCATGCTAAAGAAAAGTTATATTGCCCGTACTAAAGACCCCCACCTCGATTATATTTTCCTCCACAAAACTCTCTTTGTGTATATGACATCGATACGGTTTGCATTCATTTATACATTAACTAATATGGAGAACGATAAAGAATATCATATATGTCCCGTGCATCGCACGAGTGAAAATCTAGTCATCATAACAAATAAATAACATTGTTAATAAACACTACTTACTATTATTATTTTAATAAGTGAAAGCATTTATATTATATTTAATTTTTTTAAATAGCACCATACATATTCATTGTCCATTTCGTTTAAAATACATTTCATATTTTGTTAAAACCTTGTATATTGTAAATAATAATTTAACTTATATGTTGACCGGGTTTTCCGGCGTTGACCGGGTTGACCCTCCGGGTCCGGGTTGACTCGTGACTCAGTCATTCGGCCGGGTCGCTCTCCGGTCCGGTTTTTACAACATAGCTAGTAAAACTCTAAAAGTTTTCCCCGGCTGACTAATTCCATGATCAACCAATTCATTTGTCTTATACTTCCTCCGTTTTTTTAACCGCAACGGTCAACTTTTCACGTCTGCCAACACACAAGTTTGACCATTAATATCTTTCATTTTGTATTAGTAAAAAAATTAAAAAATTTAGATTATGAAGATTTGAAGTGAGAGGGATTTAACAATACTTTTTTAAAATTTAATGTATAATACATCAATAAATAAATTAGAGTCAAAGTAGAATATGTGAATAGTATAAAAAGTCCAATGTTGCATTGAAGGAAGGTTAGTATTTAATTAATTAATCCAAAAAAATATCGTCCGTCGATCGTTTACTCCTCCTCTCTCTCCGGCTGTCTGGCGGATACCGACTTTTCAGCCCATTTGCTGGATACTAGACTCCCAGCCCATTTGTCATTTTCGAAGTACAAAAGCATAATTTGGTGTGTTAGGGGTTTTCCGCCCTAAATCGCTTCCAGACTCACCGCGATCGTAGCCGGCCGGGGACCTTTTCGCCGTCAGCCATGGGTACTCATAATTCAATATTTATCGATCTAATTCGTTTTCCCTTCTTTGATACTCTTATCTAAAGCGGAATTTAAGAATTGAGCGAACATGTCAGTGATGATAATGCTGATGTCGCAGGTATCTCTCGGGATTCGATGCATAAGAGGAGAGCTACTGGTGGTAAGAAGAAGGCCTGGAGGAAGAAGCGAAAGTATGTGGATGGAATTGGATCGTCTTACGTTGGAATTTTGTTCTATTACGCTTTTCTGCGACTAGTGCTGAGTACTTTTCGTGTTTGTGTATAGTCTACTCAAGCAACATTAAAATATGAAACTGAAGGGCCGGTTATATTATTCAATTGTCAATAGAGAAATCAAGCCAATCACAATTGTGTTGGCTTGCATTTTTTTTATTATTTCTGCAGGATTATATTCACCAGTTTTTATTTATTTATTTATTTATTTATTTATTTATTTATTTATTTATTCATTCATTCATTCATTTATTTATTTATTTATTTATTTATTTATTTATTTATTTATTTATTTATTTATTTATTTATTTATTTATTTATTTATTTATTTATTTATTTATTTATTTATTTATTTATTTATTTATTTATTTATTTATTTATTGTTCTCAAGGTATGAGCTCGGAAGACAACCTGCAAACACAAAACTGGTTCCAAATGCTAAAACAGTTCGAAGGGTCAGGGTTCGAGGGGGCAATGTGAAGTGGCGTGCCTTGAGATTGGATACCGGGAACTATTCTTGGGGAAGTGAAGCTCTCACCAGGAAGACTAGGATTTTGGATGTGGTTTATAATGCCTCAAACAACGAGTTGGTCAGGACCCAGACATTGGTTAAGGGTGCTATCGTTCAAGTTGATGCTGCACCATTTAAGCAGTGGTATCTCCAGCACTATGGAGTTGAAGTTGGTCGCAAGAAGAAGACTGTTGCTGCCAAAAAAGAAGGAGAGGTATGGAGATGCCCCTACTTTTGAAACTTGATCATTTTCACTGCTTGAAAGTCAGTTCCTTGAAAAAAGACTTCTATTTTGTTTCCAAGTGGTTAATTTCCCGATACATTTGATTTCTTAAAAGAAATGGACAAATGGTAGGTACACCCTGATGGTTGGTTGGATCAATGTGCGAGTTTTTAGTGAACCTTTTTGTACATTAACTCACTCATATTTTTTTTCTGTCTATTTATTCAGGATACCACTGAGGCTGCTGCTCCTGAGGAGAAGAAAAGCAATCATGTTGCGAGGAAACTGGAACAACGCCAAAAGGATCATAAAATTGACCCACATATTGAGGAGCAATTTGCAGGAGGCCGCTTGTTAGCTGCAATTGCTTCAAGGCCTGGCCAGTGTGGTCGTGCTGATGGGTTTGTCTTCAATTCTTTTGCTATGCTCGCTTACCTACTCTAATTTGCAGTCATTGTGAACTTGAATGGGCGTTCTTCTAATTTTCTAAATTGTTTAGGTAAAATGAAACTGCAGGTATATAGGGTTCCCTATTGTATAAGCTGTCGGATTATCATTTTTGAAAAGTTAGCTACACTGTGTCTAATAATTGAGCCCTTTATTAGTGTGTTCTTATGCATCAAAATCATTTAATCTATATGATTTTATCAAATTTCAATACTGTAGCAAAGAATCTTTATTCAGAGTAGTACATTTTATATAGCAAGCTTGGAAGGGATCTACATGGTTTACTGTAAGCCAATAGGCCATGATTTATAGCAAGCCTAGTAATCCCCAAAAGTTTTAATGTGGCACACAATTAAATTTTAATATGATCAATGCTGCTTCCTGTGAGTCTGACTTGTATTTGAATTGTACGAAGGTAAATTTTAATTATTTTGTGATGTCTGAGTTTATGTTGGGCCTGATATATTTGCTAAGTAGAGACTATTAATTAATGCTATAGCTCAAGCGGGAATTAATTGACGTGAAGGTTCTTCTCACAATTTGTTCATATGGGCTTTGCCGCTTTGCAGTTACATTTTGGAGGGCAAGGAACTGGAGTTTTACATGAAGAAACTTCAGAAGAAGAAAGGAAAGGCTGCTGGTGGTGCAGCTTAGATTCTATTCATTCAGTTTTGACACATTATCCCTTTTTACTTATGTATTGCAATTTGTGACTTTGTCACAAATTATCAGTTTAGAATTGTCTCCTAAACATTATTATATTGAGAGTTGTTGACCTGCCCTATTACTTTTGCAGTCATGCTTTTCATTAAAATATGAGATCGCTTTTTGGATTATCTATTCTTTTAGTATTCCCTTTTTCTCGTTGGCGTGAAGTTAACGATTTTTTTAATCATTTTTATACATCAAGAATCAATAGTTGTAGATGCTTGAAGATAGTCTGACTGGTTTACCTCTTTGGGAGCCTGGGAGGTAATGGATCCAAAACTATTTACATGCCACCTTCCTATTCCTAGTTAATACTATTCAGATGAGTATTTTTAATAGATCACATGCATAAAAGTTTTTTTTTTTAAAAAAACAATTTAATGCTAAAGAGACCTGCCATATTTTGGTTTCCTGATATCACACTTTCCAGTTTTATTAGTTCATGTTATGCGCCTCCCTTATTTCACATGTATGCTATGCACATTGTCATATTAACAATCCTTAAAAGAAGTATCAATTAGAATTTAGGCTTGTAAATGTCATGAGCCTCTGATTCCTATGAAAGAATCAGTCAGTGACAGTAAGAAACGGCATTGGTCTAGACTAGAGAGCAATAAATCGCTGCTTCATCTAACCATGTTGGATACTGGCAGTATATAGCAAGTAGCAACTGTATGTAAAAAAAGGCAAGAATATGAATGCCATGGATTTCGCAAGTAATTGTAGCTATAGTTGTGCTATAACTACTCCCCGAAGGATCGTGTGGAATGAGTGACGTTCATTCTTACTGCTATTTCATAGGATTATTAGACAATAACTATATTAAGTGGGACGAGCAAGATGTCTTAACAGTTAACACAATAGAATACATTTGTAATAAACTTGATGCATATGATTTATATGCTCCAATTTGATGGAGTGTTGAAATCATAACCCTATCTGGAGCATACAAATTACAAATCATATGCATCAAGTTTATTACAGATGTATTCTATTGTGTTAAGACTTAAGACATTTCAAAGGAATACCCAATAGCTATATTTATAGCTACAAAGCCTACAAGTCTACAACTATGGCTAACTACACCATGGGGGTTGAGACCAATGTAACCAATGGTTAAAGTTTCAACAGGCTGAAATAAAAAAGCATAGTCATTGTTTTAAGTCATTCTAACTGCTACCGGCATTCCCCAAATCTAATCCAAACAACTAACTTTACCCAAGTCATTTTCTGAATTAAATAATATAATAATAATATAACCGATGCAGGCTAATGATTCAGACTATTAATGCAAATCCAATTACTATTTTAGGTATAAAATATATCTACTCCTATTTGTACACTTATGTATATGTTTTATCTTATTTGGAGCAGTTCTAAACTAAGTTTTCTCAAGTTAAGCCATGCCTTGGTGAGGCCAAAACATGACCCATTAGAATTTATCATCAGAATATTATAAACGTTGGTAGCAACCCAATATAAATTTGAGGTCTCTGGTATTAATTGGGATCCCCACTTAATCTAGTGTTTACTTTCCAACAATTTCACTATTTTTCCTAGTGTTATTTGACCTATGAATCATGTATGGGATGGATTGTTATGCCCCTGCTGTATTAAATAAAACAACCAGCAAGTCAAAACAGCTATCAAATTTAGTCATTGGCAATGTGTTGATACAATCCACCAACTGACACAACGAGTTGCTTAAGCCATTATGCACAGCACAATTAGGTTTGCATCGATTTTTTTAACACATTTGGGTTGATCTCAGGAAGACAAGAACTATTGAACTCAATGCATCATTGCCCAAACTTTATATAAGTAATCATCAACGATGCACAAACAGCACATTATGACCACTCCATGAAAAAAGAAGTAAAATCTTAAAAACCATGCACTATACAATCGAAAGGATTCTAAATTTATCCAAAACCACGTAACAGCTAAATGCTATAACTTCCCATATTTCTTTCTTATTCGATCCTTGACAAAATCATTCCTAGCCTTGGTTCTAGCTTGCTGAGGACCAACATTCAGATATGAAAGATGCACCCCATATGCAAACAAAGCTCCGCTACCAAGGAAACATGCAACTGTAACTGCTAGCTTGGCTGGGGTTGAGGGAGAACAAAAAGCCATCTGATCTAAAATCCTGCCAGCAAAGAGTTTCCATTCATGTATTAGGGTGAAACACTTTGCTCAGTGTCACATGGAAAAAAGCACACATAACACACATAATGGGAGCACATAACAACAATCAAATTTCCGAGGCAAGGGTGGATCAGATTTTAATTAGGGTTTAGCAAAAGTAATTACTCCAGCCAGATGTATTTGAGGAAGTTTCTGTACTCCCAAAAACATAAAGACAGTCAAACACTCAAGCTCAAACCTTAAACAGTCTCGACAAAGAACAAATACAGTAGCAGACAAAGCATAGTTTCCGTATAAGATTGAAGACCTGATCCAAGGCATCCAAGACACCTCTACTGCTCTACAAACAGTTTACGCTAGTAAGAAAAATGGAATATCAAGCATATGCTGATATGCACCAGACCAAATGCACATTGTAAGATGCATTTCATACCCTATAAAAAGAGAGACTTTGAATTTATTATCGTTATACACCTGAACTCGTAGTGTAAGCCTTTAAATTGTCCCGTAAAGATAATAATGCTGCAAAATACTACCTCTGACACATTTTGATTGTCTCATATGAAGTATTTCCTATTTAGACCGTCCTAGCATACTTTTACTAAATTAGGCAGTATTTTTGTCTCTGAATCATTTCCAATTTCTCACTTTTAAATGTTCAATAACAATCACAAATCCCACTTTTCCATAATATTTGTGCCAAAATCAACAGGCCGTCTTTAGAATTGTAGAGGCCTAGATGAAAGAACACTTAATATTGTCATATCATATTAATGTGATTTCTATAACACTAATGTCATACAAAAAGATAAATTGAATAAAAAATACACAATATGAGAAACAACACATATTCAAAGTGAAAGATACACTGTGAACATCAAAAGAATAAATTTTTAAATGTAAACATATGCAAATGCACAAAAACTTTTACGGAGTACTTCTTAATATCCTATTCTTCTTGCTTTTTGTTTGAGCAGTCATCACAATACCTACATGCTTACAGAAAAATCACAAACAAATAGTCAACAAAACAAACTAAAATTCACAAATACAATTTTTAGTGAAAATCGCAAACCAAACTACATAATTACTACCACCAAACTAATTGAAAATTATTTCAATAATTCATGAATTTTCTTGACAGCCTTGCAACTAATTAAAGCTAAAACTACTTCATGTATCTATTGACTGCCAAAATACCAATAACTGAATAATCAATATTAACCCAGTAACCTTAAGCCTAAACTTTATACAATTTTAACTTTTATTTACCTGAAGACGCTAGTCCTTAAGCCAAACGCACTGTCGGGTGAGGAATAAGGGAAGCTTCTGAAGCGTTAATTCTGTGGCCGGTCACCAGTGAAGACTGTAGGGAGAAGTGCAACTGGGGTGCTGTGCACAACCGCAGTAGCTATGCTGATCTCGTTCAGTCGTTCTGATCGGTCGATTCGGTCATTCGACTCTGGAATTTAGGAATCGGGGCTCTGGCATTGTCGCCGTTTGCGGGAGTTCAGGAGTTTATGTCTGATGATTCAATTCTAATTTGGGATTAAGAAAAGAATAATACGAGTACTAGGTATTAAAAGTTAATTAATGGACAAAAAAAGACTGTTTGAATTTCCAAAAAAGAGATTCAAAAGGAATAAGATCATTATAATTCCTTTATGCCCTTGTCACTTGACCCATTACCACAATGACAACTAGGGCTGGACTCGGGCCGGTTCGGGCCCGGTTCGGGCCTGGGCCCAGCCGGGCCTTGGGCCAGGAAAGGGGAGGCCCGAGCCCGAACCGCCGGTGGCCGGTTCCGGGCCCGGCCCAATAATTTTTTTTGTTCTCCTATTTAATCCCCTACCCCTCCCCCTCAACCCCAAACCATCCCAAACCACCTCAAATGGCCCAAAATACCTAATCCAACCTAAAACTTAAAAAAAATTCAAAAAAAAAAAAAAAAAATTAAAATCCGGCCCGGACCGGGCCCGAACCGGCCGGGCTGGTTCACCAAAAGCTGGGCCTGAGCCCGGACCGCCCAGCACCCGGGCCGGGCCAAACCGAACCGGTGGACCCACCGGGCCACGGGCCGGGCCGGGCCAAACAGTGACCGGGCCGGTTCGGTCCCGGGTCGAGCCGCCCGGCCCGAGTCCAGCACTAATGACAACCATTAAAGTGACCAACGTCACAATGACGTGCATGTTCGCTCGTCGAGTGATCATCGTCCGCCGATCTAGGGGTGTTCGTCGGTTCGGTTTGATCGGTTTCGGTTTTAGAAAATGTGAAACTGTAAACCGAACCGCACTACTTGAGTCGGTTTCAGTTCGATTAGAAAATGTGAAACTGTAAACCAAACCGCACTACTTCAGGCGGCCTATCCAGTGACTAATGAATAATGTCCACCCGTCAAGTGACTAATGTCCGACCATCCAGTGACTAACATCAACCCGTCCAGTGACCATTGTCGGTCCGTCTAGTGATCAACGTCCGCCCGTCCAATGACCAAAGTCCACTCATCCAGGACCAAGTGACCAACGTCCTCCTATTCAGTAACCAATGTGTGCCCACCCAACATTGACCACCGTAGACAACGATTCTAGTGACCACGTTGGCCCCAACCACCACCGCCCCTTTGAGACACTAGGGACCCTGGTGCCACATACCTCTCTACCTAGCACAGGACGTTAAAAATTCACAAATACAAGGCCACATGCAATATTTTTGGGTTGGAATTGACGATCTTGAAAAGTAAGATTCAGAAATTTCATTCATACTCATCTAGGATTAGTGCTGGACTCGGGCCGGGCGGCCCGGCCCGGAACCGGGCCGGTTACTGTTTGGCCCGGCCCGGCTGCTGGGCAGTTCGGGCCCGGGCCCAGGTTTTGGTGAAGCGGCCCGGCCGGTTCGGGCCCGGTCCGGGCCGGATTTTAATTTATTTTTTTTTTTTTGAAATTTTTTTAAGTTTTAGGTTGGATTAGGTATTTTGGGCCATTTGAGGTGGTTTGGGATGGTTTGGGGTTGAGGGGGAGTGGTAGGGGATTAAATAGGATAACAAAAAAAAAAAAAATTGGGCCGGTTCGGCCCGGCCCGGTTTGGCCCGGAACCGGGACCGGAACCGGCCACCGGCGGTTCGGGCCCGGGCCTCCCTTTCCTGGCCCGAGGCCTGGCCGGGCCCAGACTCGAACCGGGCCCGAACCGGCCCGAGTCCAGCACTATCTAGGATCATGAATAGACTACTAAAGATAATTTCCTAGCCTATATAAACCCATAATTTATCACAATTGGATGATTGGATCATCTAATCTTATATCAATTCCAATTGTTATACTTTATTACACTATTTTTGGTGTTCTTGAAGAAGGAAAATCATCCTTCTTAATCATTGGTGTTCTTTCTACTATGGCGAATAATTATTGCAACCAGTAGCATCCCATGTTAGCCTTTATTCATTTACTTAATTACTTCCCAAATAAAAGTAACGATGTGGATGGCCTCTCCCTTAAAACTCCCTTCTTCCCTTAAATCCAAACACCAATCGGTTACCCCCCATAATGGAAATGCCAAAAGTGAAGTCCTCGAAATGCATACGCAGGTTTACTAGAACATCAAAAGCCTGCAATTTTGACTCAACATATGTGATTTGAAAAAGTTCTCAATCCACTCTAGATTATTTGCTTTCACTTTGTGTAGCTAACAATTAGAAGTGAAGTCAGGAATCACCATCAGAATCCAAGTCTGTATCTTGCTCGGATTGGAATGCTATTATTCTATTTGTATTGGCTTCTAATGGAGGAAGTCCATCATCATCACTTGAGTTTTCAACATCACATGTTTGAGGAGTTTGCTTTTTTAAACTTTGCATTGGAGGTTCAATTGCTTTCGATCTGAAGATATCTGGCCTGCACGGGAATATGAGTATGAGAATCCAAAGCATAAATGGTTTCACATAGCTGTTATTTTCCAAATGGTGGCTCATGGCAATTGTTCCAAATACAAACAGATTTGAATAAAAGATGCAAATCCTCAATCATTTCACATAATTGTACTCTCTAGTAATATCAAATGATTCAGAATTTCATTGGAAAGAAGTGAAGTACTAACACCGTAAAACAGACACATTAGTTTCAAGCAACCACGTACCATTCTGGAGACTTTTTATACTCACGAACTTGATCATGGTAGAGGACTTGTGCAACAGTGCAACCCACTTTTCTCCCTGACCCCATTTCCTCCTCTCTCCCACTCTCATCAACCACGACAAAGTTCCCTATTCATTCACAGTAAAAGGAAAGCAGAAAAGAACAGGTAAAGTAAGGCTTTTGTAATCTCTCTTTTCATAAAATATAAAAATGTAGATATATAGTTATACTTGTAAGCTATTCTCTTAACAGATCAAACCTCTTTTAATCCACATGCTCTTTTGAAACTTAGCTGGGAAGATTGCTATTGACTTATCACCCTTTGCATCCATTACCTTCAAATACCAACAATGCAACTTAGAATGAAACAATGCATAAAACATAAAGTTGTACAAATACTCTATGCATGTCTCACTTTGGGTGTTTTGTTGAAAGTGTAACGATGTACAAATAATGTATGAAAATCTCTGTTTGCGTGTATGTGTTGAGAGAGTCAGAGAGAGATGTTTACCTCAATTTGATTGGAGCCACGGAGGTCAACTACTTGCATAATGCATTGTCCTTGTTGAAGAGTTGCAGTTTTTTCATTTACAGCTCTTTTCAAATTCTTTCTTCCTCTTTGCATGGCTCACTGATCTTTTCCCACTTCTAGAATGCAATCCAATGCAGACTTGGAAACCCCAAAACAGGATAATTAGTCAAAGTTGCAGAATAGTAGCTCAATACCAAACGGTGGCGGAACCAGAAACATATTTGAAGGGGGGCGGATCAAATTCCATACAAGACCATTTTTCCTATTGCTTTCTTCGTTACCCAAAAACCGACTATTCCGTATTACAAATTACTCCCTCCGGTTCTAGAACAAGTTCCACCTTTCCTTTTCGGACAGTACCAAAATTAAGCTCCACTTTCAAACAATCAAACATTTCCTTATTTGGCAATTATCTACATCAAAACAATGCCAAACAGTGTCAAACAGTGTTCAAACAATGTCCAAACAGTGCACTCCAAAGTAAAGTCAAATTTGTTTTCTTAATATGCGTGAAGTCAAAACCGGAACTTGTTTTAGAACCGGAGGGAGTATTATATAGACATATGTAATCTAACAAAATAAAAAATTATAAATCATAAACTTCACATATAAAATTATAAAATGTAAATCAACATATAACACATTTTTTAATACACCAATAGTCATTTTTATTTATTTAGGTTATTTAAACTAGTAAAACAATTTAAACTAATATACAAGATAGAGATTATTAAAAAAATCAAAATGGGGAAGTTAATTACGGAATACGAAGTAACTAAATCCAGAGATAAAATTAGTGATCAAGTTCAAAACCAATTGCTAAATCGGTAAAAGCATAAACAAAATCAACAATACAATAACATTTAGTTTATACTCCCAAATCCACTAAATCGCACTACTCCCCAAGTCGGCTAGTCCCCTGCAGCCTGCTCGTTTCGTTTTCCCTAATGTTTTGAAATTAACTCATACGGAGTAATAATTACAGCCCCAGCTCAGGCCAGCTGTCCATTCACCCTCTTAAGTTTATTGGTTGTGCGATGTCGTTTAAATTTCGCATCATTTAATCTAACGACGTCGTTTGAAACTTTGATTTCAATTAAAAAACATAAAAATAAACAACCCACCAGCTGGAAGGTCGGAAGTAGCAAAGACCCCCAACCCCACCTACGCACAAACGGACCACCTGCTTATTTTAATTAAAAAACATAAAAATAAACAACCCACCAGCTGGAAGGTCGGAAGAAGCAAAGACCCCCAACCCCACCTACGCACAAACGGACCACCTACGCACAAACGGACAGAGCTGCCGAGCTGGTGCGGAAGGGGAAAGGTAGAAGACGACCGGGGCGCCATGGAGCTTATACCTATACATACCTAAGCATCTCCGGCAAAGGGGTGGCGGCGGCACCGGCTCGCACCCCCTAGTTCCGCCACTGATACCAAAGTTGCAGGATAGTAGCAAATATGAGAGCGTTTAGATGAGAATCACTCAACAGTATTTTATTAAAGCTTTTAAGATTGGAGCAAAATACCCACCTTACTTATAGGCCCAATTCAATTCAATACATAATAAACTTTTAGATTCAACACATCCATGCTTAAGACTGGCAGTAGAGACTGTTTAGGATAATGCCTACAAAGTTTATTACTCATTATCAAGGTAGTCAAAGTCGAAAGGTGCACTTGAAGCGCTAGGGACCTTGCAGCGCCTGAGGCGCAAATAAAGCGCTCGACTGACTCGAGTGAAGCGCATTACTTAGATAATATCACATATACTATTCCACAATTACCAAATATGATGTAGGTAACAACATATTAAACCAAATGCATAAAAAGGCAGGATTCACCAAAATAAAGTCGTGATTCACAAAAACTAAACACCAAATTCAGAATTCATGGCTTTAATACTAAAGGCTCACTATTTTTTGGCTTGAAAATATGATGGAATAAAGCAAAATGGCTCACTAAATTGTCTGCGCTTCTTTGTTATGAAGCTCCAGTCAGTCCATGCATTTTGGACGCGATTTTCACTATGGGTCATCCGGAAACAGTCTCTATGTGCTTTAGTACAGGGGTAAGGCTGCGTACATCCGACCGCCCCTTACCCCACTGTAGGTGGGAGCCTTTGTGGCACTGGGGTGATGATGATGATGATGATGGCTTTAATACTAAAACTAAAAGGAAAAGACAATCAAATCGGAGCCTATTCACCCTTGTTAGACTTGTGAAGGACTATTAGTCATCAAAAGAGGAGTAGGTTTCTTCTCCATTATCTGATTTATATTCTCCAACATCCTCTTCAATTTCTCCCTCAGTTTCCTCATCCACAAGCCTACGAGTAGTACTTGAACTTGGATTTTAGGACTACGTATTATTATTACTTTATTATATACATAGCATTGTTCTAGCGCTGTGAGTAATATAGAGTAACTGAGTAATACAGAGTATCATTACTTTATTATATACATAGCAATATACTAGTGCTGTGTGTAATATAGAGTCATACAAAGTATCATTACTTTAATATATATATATAGCAATATACTAGTGCTGTAAGTAATATAGAGTATTATTACTTTATGAGTAATATAGAGTATTATATACATGGTAATATACTTGTACTTTATTACATACATAGCAATATACTATATGAGTATTGGATGAAGAGGACTGCATGAAAAAGAGCACATCTTGTTTAGTGCTGTGAGGGAGAACTGAGTTTGCTTGAGATGATGAAGAAAACTGAAAGAACTGGCCAGTGTAGAGCAGCTTGAGTGAGGAGAATGAGTAGACTGAAGAGTGATGATGGCAAGCGATGATAGCATAGTGTTTTACACAAGGTTTTACGTTTTTACGTACTTGACTTGAGGTTCTACGTAGGTCTCAATGGTTTTACCCTATTATTTAGATGGGCCAAGTGTTATTAAAGATATGAGCTAACTATTTTTGAAAGTTTTAAACAAAAAAGGCTGTCAGCCTTTTCTGGATCAGGTGACCCAGGCGTGCACCTCCCTGCGCTTCATGCGCTTATGCTGCGCCTCACCCAGGTGCGTGCGCCTCCCCTTCTCCCAAGTTCTTTAACCACCCAGCTCATTATGAATGCAATTTATTGTGACCCATCTCAGCCTGGCAACGTATAACCAGCTCAGTGTTGTTAATGGCTAACGTCACATGACCCAAATTCTGCCATATGGTTGGCACCACCCATAGCCCACCATTCTGCACAAATTTTATATGGAGCCATGGAGGTATCCTATGATTCCTCGACCACCAATCACAAGACTGCTGTTTGACAACATTGAACCCAACCAGCTCTTTCCAGAGCTGGAAAAAGACTTATAAGCTAACTTCAAATTCAGACTTTTTATAGCATACAGTATAGTATAGTAATATTTCCAAAGTTTTATCTTTCAATATTTTGAGTTTTAAATCAGTTAAATAATTAACAAAAGAGCAATTGCTTTAGTCTAAACAGGACATAGTTGTTGAAGCAAATAGCTGAAAATCGAAAAGGCTAACTTAATAGAAAGATAGAATCCTATAAGCCGGATTAAGATGGAAGAGTTAGATGAAATAGAGAAATCTTAAATTAATGGAACAGTGGAACCTCACATGGAAGAGAGACCCGAGAAAGAAGAATGAAAGAACACATAGAAATCGAGTTAGAAAAAGAGTAAGAGTGGAGAACACAAGAAGCAGAGGAATTTGAAGGGAAATGAGAGATATAAGAGCTAATATGAGAAGCCCAAAAAAGCAATATACATCTTTTAACATTATTTTTGGTGCTTATAAAATCATACAACCCGATATACGTGTATATGAAAACCATACTGCTGATAACATACATGGACTTTAAGAAGTAAAAAGTTATAGATAAAACATTTCATTTCATTGAATTTGTCCTTTTCCTTTAATTCACTCTTTACGGTAATAGTTTACTGATGAATAACTCTTCTTTTTAACTCATGAAGAATTAGTTTTCAGATAAATCACAACTAGATGTGTTACATTTTAGTAATTTAGTTTAGATCTAGATGTTCAGAAACCATATACTACGTACTTCGTATTAAACTTAACAGAGGCATTGACAAATCACAAATGGTGTTGAAGAACTTATGGTATAGAACGAAAAGTGGAATTTGAGTGGGTATGGAGGAACTGTTTTATGAAACAAGACGTGGGATTACCTTCTGCCATGTTGTATTTTTCACTGCATGGAGATACTGAACCCATTTTGAAAAGGGAAAAGGATCTTGGAGGGTTAAGCATACTCAGGAATATCTGTCTCTTAAAGAACTTGCCATACTAAATTTTAGAAGTACAAATCAGTGTTATCAATAGCTGATAGCAGATTATGGCGGAAAGATTAAAAAACGCTAAGTAAATAGCCGAAGCATAGAAGATTGGGTATACAATTACATATATAGTGATAAAATTTAAATATCGTACTATATGTTAGAAGTACCCCTAGAAGTAAAGTAATAAAAATAGTCAAATAGATTCTAGCAACACTAACAGTTACCATCTTAGAAGTATACTTGAAATCATAGCATAAAGCACTATCATTTTTGTTCTTGGCATTTGACCAAGATTGTGACAGTGATGGTATTTCATATTTGGTACAGTAAATGCAAACTGCTGAAACTTTTTATTAAAAAATTGAGTGGTACTAATAAAAATGGTGAGGGAGTATACTAGCTGAATTTAAAAAGAAGAGGCATTACATTGACACACTCAAAGAACCAAATTTTCTGCAGCCAATATAGTAAAATATGTTAACAAATGACAAACAAATTGCAAGAGAATAGAACGAGAAAAAAGAGTGGAGCAACAAAAGTTCAAAATAACATTGAAAGTAAAGGAGTAAAGGTAAAAAGGGCAGGGATCCCGGCTCACCCAGGAGGTAGAGGATGGCTCGGAATCGCTAAGTGCAGGTCGCAGGAAGAGGAGGCCGCCGGAGAGTGAAGAGGAACAAACGATCCGAGTTGTTTGGTTAATTAAATAAAAGACAAATAAATTGTTCTATCATGGAATTAGGGAGCTTTTGTTTTAAAAGAAGTTTGAAAAAAAGTGTTTTCACCACAACTTCTATTTAAATTAATTGCTTAAAAATTAAAAGTGAGAAATAGGTGGAACTGTGGAAGGGTTCTTTAAACCACTTTTCATTATTTTATTATCCAAAAAACACTATATACTTTTACTTTTTTAGAATCATCTTTTTACCAATCACTACTAATTTTTACTATTAAGTACTTTCTCCAAAATCATTTTGAAAAATAATTTTTGAAAGAGTATGTTTCCAATTTCGAACTCGGAAACTCTTTGGAAACTCTCCAAATAAACCTTTTTTGAACAAAAGTTGTGATGGTCCCGGATAGGGTAAAAGTCTAGAGGGGGGGGTGAATAGACTTTTAAATCTTTTTCAATCTTACGATGTTTTCTCTCCAGAAGAGTTGATCTATAATCTTTTGAGAGATTAATAGATGCACAGCGGAAGTCTTTACCGTTTATGTAATGAGTGTTTGACCACTTTCTGATTTGGAAGATTGAATTTAGATAGCTAGCAGTTGGCTTGGCAGTTAGCTTTAGCAGTTGGCTAGATAGCAGGGAACTGCTGAGGTAACTGCTAGACAAAAATTGACTTTATGATGAACGTGATGGTGAAACGTTGTTTAGAATGAAGAAAGATGTCTGAAAAAGTGCTTTAGTAAGATAAAGGTGAAGTTTAACTGGAGCAGTGGTCTCGGCAGTTGGGTGGTACTGAGGCAACTGCTGAGCCACCTGCTTAGGTTCTAAGCAGATTTTCAGAGATCCTTTTAAGCAAAACTTCTTGTTGATGAAGTTATAAGAATCTGGTGATGTTGAGTTGTTTAAAGGAAATATATGAGTGTGAGCGGAGAGCTCAGCAGTTGGGTGGTACAGAGGAGAATGCTGAGGCACCTGCTATATTTAGAAAGTGAATTTCCGAGAACTGTTAGAACAACCTTTCTGGTGATGTTTTGGCAAGTGGACTGTGTGAAAATAGTCTCAAAGAGAGTGAGTAATTAAGCAGAAGGATAAGCAGTTGGGTCAATTAAGACAACTGCTTAAAATGCTGCTGACAAACTACAATCTTTATATGAGAAGTGCAAGGTGTGTGCTTTGTTGAATGAAGTAAAATCAACACACGATGTATCCTGGTTCAGAGGTGGTGTAATCCTCCTACGTCCAGTCCCACCCTCTTTCAGATGGATTTTCACTAAAGTATTAAGCCCAATACACTTAGTGTCAATCTAGCCTTTACAACACTTAGGCCTGGATTGAAGGTTTTTCACGATGAGTATAACACCACTCAAGGTTACTCAGTCCTTAGACTTTTCTCAAATGATCCAGTGGGGATCAAAAGGTACTCTATCTATCTAACCATACTTTAGGATCCGAACTACTGTTCTCCTAAGTATTTACAACAACTTGTGAAATGTTACAAGAAAGTTCTACCCTCCAACTAGGAACTAAACTTCTATAATTTAGCAATGAATAGTTTGTAAACTGGAAGTTTAGTGAAGCATAGTCCAAGCAGAGAGTAAAGTTTAGAATAACACTTTCTCTTTTGCTAGATAGCTTGTGAATGCTTGTGGAAGTTTTTCTCTATCTTGGATGCTCAAAGCTTGTTTTAGAACTTATGCTTCTACCT